ACGCTGGATGACGCGGGCGTGGCGCGCCAACCATGGCTGCGGCAGCAGGGAAGTGCCAGGCTGTCACTGTCAGCAGCGAGGCTGGGCCCATCGCCTGGGGACCACGGGCAAACCTGCGCCAGACTGGGATGCTCAAACCCCAGGACCCGGACTCCTGAGCCCAGAGCCCTCTTGCAGGACTTGACCGCTGAAGGGAAGACGTTTCACCTGGCTTTTCTGAACAAGCTTGTGAAAGAGCAGCAGGAGAAGACCAAGACATGTGTGTGAAGCACAAGGAGAGGTCATCTTGACATGCTAGAGCTGCTGAGAAGAGCCCTCCTCTTCTCCAAAACACCCAGCACATTCAAGCTAAACTACCACTGCTTGTCGGGTTCTTCAGACCCCCCGTGCCATCACAGGGTGGTTCACTGATGACACAGCACCGAACTCTGCAATGAAGGAACCCAGCTGGGAGCCGGCAGCCCCAGAACAACAAGCTTGGAGCAAGAACAAGGGCACGCAAGGCTGAGGTGGAAGTGCTGCCCTCAGCTCTGCCACCAACAGATGCCTCAGCCACACTGGTTTCACTATTGGGGTGCAAGGAGACCTGCTCCGTTACCCCTGGGTCACATCCCACTTAGGCTGTGCACAAACTACCCACCGGAGTGGGCACACAGAGGCCAGGTTCTTCACTGGGACACTTGAGTGTTCTGCAAAATTCAGCCCTTTAATCAAGAGCTTCTGGGTTGGGCGCTGGGAGGACGGATGACGTCTGGCAGAGGAGCCGTGTCATCGATCTGTCCCAGAGCACAGTGGGAGAGAGTTATGGTCCTGCTCCCTGACAGCTTTTAGACACAGCTTCACAAAGGTCCCAAACCCTGTCACCCTTCAGCATTTTGGGCAGCTGAGCGTGTCTCAGAGCGCAGTATGAGTCAGGCAACTGCTGAAGCTTGCGTATAGGTTAAGTCAAGCTCCCAGCCTCCACTGTTGTACCACTGCCCCGTGTCCCAGCCCCAACCCCACCCACAGCCCAGTGCCACCGAGGCCACAAAGGCAAAGCCATCTCAGTGGAAGCACCACTGTACCAGCAGCAGCACACTGCTGCTGCTCAGCTCTTCTGCTCCTCCTGGCATCCCCAGACAGTTTCAGTAACCAAAACCCAGACATGGAGTGAAGCCAGGGGACTGCTGAGAACAGGAACACTGACCAGCAGCTCCTGAGCTGACAGTGAACCTGTACCTGCAGCTGACTGGCTCTCTGCACAGCCAACGTCAGCCCAGGAACCACGGCAGACCTGAAGTCAGAGTGAAAAAGACGGCCAGCAATCCTACCATCGGCTGAACCAACGGGATCAGCATCGTAAGAGAAATACTGAGCGCTCTCCCGTCTAAGATGCTTGAACTGCTTGAAAGCTGAGACCCCACGTGGAGCTGAGCTCAGAAACCTCTCCAGAGAGGCTCTAGATACTTACAGCTGCACCGGAGGTGCCCTGTGAACTCGTGCCGGCAGGAGCGGAGCCTTCCGAGGAGGTGGACAGTTGCCGTGCTATGGGGCTGTGAGGTGTAGGGGTCACAGATGCCGACAAGTAGCTTGGACCACCGACGTCCGTGTGATGCTTCAACACTACACAAGGAAGGGGGGAGAAAATGAAGAATGACATTAGCAAAAAAACCCCCCAAAAACCCAAAGGAGGGTGGTGGTGGATAGAAAAGGACCATGTGCACCAGAAACGGCCAGTGCTGAGGAGCACGCTGCATGAAAGAGAAGCACCTTCTGATGGTGGCTGCCAGCTCGAGAGGCCCTGGGGGAAGAAGTGGTTAGAGCACACGAGGCATTGCTGCGGTGGTGACAGGGCCCAGAAGCAGTGCGTTCCCCCTTCTAGGAGGCCGGAGGGGGAGAGAGGCTGGATGTGCAGCAAAGCCCAAGCTCCCCCCGAGAGACCTGGCCGTGGGAGCCTACCTTCACTCCTCTCAGACGAGCAGTCTCGCAACCGCTTTTTGTCACAGGCAGGAGGCTGGACAAGCGAGCGCTCTGGCACTCTCTCGGCCTTGGACACGGCCGTAAAATCGTCTAAAGGCGGCCTGTGTGCCTTGTCTGGTTGGATTTTTTGATGTGAGCGCTCTGAGGAGGGGAACAGAGAAAGAGCTATGAAACGTCTGTTTTCACCTCTCTTTCTGTCGGCACAGGAGGCTCGGGCGGAGTTTACCAGCTCCATAAATCCAGACAGGTCAGGCTAATGCCATCAGGGCACTGGAGATGTGCTCAGAGCAGAACGGGCCGTAGCTCTGCCCGTGCCGATGTGAGCACAGCCTCAGACCGAGCGAGAAGAGGTCCCTACGGACTGAGACCAGCCTGAACTTCACAACCTGCACACGCTTCACCTTCAGCTCCGGCCTACGACACCACAGCCTCATCCCCGAGAGCTGAACCTGAAGGGCATCCTCCTCCTCTCTTCTCTCAGATTGCACGGCTGTCGGGTACAAAACCGGGCAACGCTTCTGCACGCGGCAGAGGCAGGGAGGACACTTACTGGCTGCAGTGAAGAACGAGTTCACCAGCTTGTGGCGGTCCTTGCGAGCAGGGTCAGACAGGCTGCTGGTGGGCATGGGGGCTCTGTGCTTGAGCGAGAGCTTTTTGGGAGGTTTGATTTTCTCCTTGGGTTTGTTCTGCCACTGAGATTTCAACATGCTCAGGAAGTGCAGGCTCGTGGGCACATCTGCAGAGGGACACAAACCAAGGCATTCCAATTCACTAAATTAGGCGCCAGAAAGCTGCAGTACCGTAATCCTCTCCCAGGCCCCCAGTAAGAACAGCCCTTCACAACACACAGGCACTGACTGTAAAACCCAGGCTTGCTTACACCTTCCTCATGTTCAGGGAGGATCTGCAATGCTTGGACTTGATGATCTTAGAGGTCTTTTCCAACCTGTGATTCTATGATTCAATGTCAGGACCCAACATTTCTAATCTGAAGCTCTTTGAGAGAAGGACATTCCCACAGGATTCACAGCCCAAATACATCCCAGCAGGAGAATGACGCCTCTGTCAGAAAAACCATGCATCTTCACCACCGAAGGTATCTCCTGTACTGCCACACTCAATTCTGCTATCTCAGATCTGACTTCCAAGAATCTGAGATAGCTCAGCACATCACATCTACAGAGGTACGGGCTGGTAGAGAGACATTCAGCTTAAATCCTCAATTTCAGGTCAAGCCAAAAGCCAACCAAGTACTGTATAACGTTAATCTGCCTGACGTGGCACCTCAATCATCTAACGAACGTCGTGTAAGCGAGCACACTTCGAGGCTCAAAGAGCAGCAGGACTGCAGCTCCCCGGGAGCTCCCCAGGCAGGGGCTGGGTCGCGCAGCCATCTGCGAGCAGGCAAACTCACGGGTAATTATCCGGGTAACTGATGCATCCCCAGCCCGAGGTTTCTGTGCCTCCCACCCATCACGGTAACCCAGAGTACCTGGCCCTGTTCAGCCCTGCCGTCTCACAATGAGCCTGAGCACGCTGCACTGCTATGAAATTCGGCAGATGCCGCTTCTGCCCACATTCCTCAAGCTTCGTTTCTCCCAAATCCCACACAGACGTGCACTCCCGACCTCAGCTGAAACGCAGAACACTACTGAGATTATTCCGTGGATTTCTTGAGCAGATAGGCTAAGGTAGACTACAAAAAACATTAACTGGAGTAGCAAACTACTCCAGCCTCAGGAGTCCCACTAATAAGCCTTCCTTTCAATACTCATAGCTTCAGACTTCAGATCTGACCACCAAATACTGCTGCCTAGGTCTCCTCCAAGAGCCGGCTCTCCTTCATACGCCTGAGGGCCAAAACCCTAGTTTGGAAAAGCATTAAAGCCTTTAGGGTTAACGGCAGAACTACTGAGACATGAAAATATCTTCTCGATCTACAGCCCTAAGATCTTTGGCAGGGGGCTGGGCCAGATGATCCGCAGAGGTCCCTTCCAACCCCTGCCATTCTGTGACTCTCCACCAGCACTCGTGGTTTGACGCGTCCCCCATCTGCTCTCCTCCCTGAGCACAGACCAGCAGACCGTCACCCCGTGCGAGCTCACGCCGCCACAACTAGGAGTTAAAAGCACCAAGATGAGCATCAGGAGTACAAACATCCCTCCCCCACATCTCTCAAGCTCACATGGCATTTTCACAGGGACTTTGAAGCAACCCTGAGCAGAGCTGAACCTTCCCAGGCCCTGCACGACGAATAAAGCTCCTTGCTCTACAGAGGGGACGCGGAGGCAATTAGGAGCTGCCATGGGATGTAGAAACTGCATCTAGATAACCTCAGAGGGCAAGCTGAAGAGATTCCAGCCCTGTCAGTAGTCTCAACGGTCGATATCTGAACCCCTACGAAATTTCCCCACCGGTTCCAGGGACTGGAAAGCCCCAGCAGCAGATCCGGGCAGGCAAAAAGGACGGAGAGAGCTGGCAGAGCACGGGCAGGAGTCGGCTGTTATCAACGGGGGGAACTGGACTCTCCGGAGAAAGCCAGGGCAGCTGCATTTCAAGTACCTTGATGGCTAAAGCCCTGGTTTAGCCCCGTCCGTTCGTTAAGGACGGCTATCACAGTGCGATGGCGGCTCTTTGGCCACCAGTACTGGTTTGCAGAGACATGTCCCAAAGAACAGGGGCCGAGCCAGCCCTTTAAGGACATGGCCGGCGAGGCTGCAACATCGGCGTGTTGAAGCGGTCTGACTTTGGGAAAATGGCCTCTTTGCTAATCTTCTGCTTTCTCCTTAAAGTTCTTCCCACCCCAGCAGCCCACACATCTGTGGAAGGAGGGGACGGGTCGAAGGGAGAGGAAAAACACAAGACAAAACGTTGTCAGCGGAAAATGAATTCTTCGCTGGTTGCCACTGCCCTGCTGTCAGCACTCACTGCACCGGAGTCCGTGCAGCAAGCGACACCGTCCCTCCTCCTCCTCCTCGGCCGGGCGATGCAGGCCTCCCGGGGACCGGCAGATGGCAACCAGACTGAGCCCGAGCGCCCCGCTCTCATCCTCCCCACCGCCGTTATTACATCATCCGAAAATTCCCAGCGAGAAATCCGATGAACCAGAAAAGGAAAAAAAAAACCCACAAACCACCAAACAACTGAAAGGAAGGGGACAAAGCCCTTAGGAAGCGCAAGCGTAACGGGTTAAACGCCGTGATGCCCGCACCCTGCTTGCCAGAAGTATAAATGATCTTTTTCCTCCTGCGGCGCCTGGCAATTTTGCCCTTGGCAAAGCGCGCTGGAGATCCCGGCTGCTGGCACCGAGGAGCCCCGGAGAGACGGGCTCAAAGAGAAAGCCAGCACATGCTCACAGCTCCGAGGCCAGGCTCCATCTAACAGTCCCACAAGCTCCTCCAGACCGGCTTAACTGAGCCTCTGCCCGTCGGCCCAGCCAGCTGGCTTTAAGGTGAGCCCCCAGAGCATCACAAAGAGCACCAGCAGCAGTCTGGGTCACCTCGATGCACACTAACGGCGTCAGGCAGAGCCATCTCCCTACCTGAGCACGCTGCCTGGCTTTATGTTTGGATAGAAAAGTACCCCCATCCCCAAAAAGCAACCCTAGCAAAACTATATTAAGCATTAGTGAATAATCAAAGTTAATCTGAGGGAGAGAGGGGGGAATGGGTATTTCCGTAAAGGTTTTTTAAGCTTTACATCATACAGCTTTAAAAACCAAGGTTCTAACCTCACGCAGCCAGAATGGATCTTTTACCACACGAGCTGGCTGCAGCTGACCCTAAGAAAATGCAAAGTGAATATGGGAGGAGAAAATTTGCCTGGTGGCCACACCGCAACAGCACACAGCAGGTTTGCTTACCACTTCCTCGGTGATTAGATTTAACCCTACAGACAGAGGATTACAAGTGCTGTGAAAGCAGGAAACAAATTTCTGCTTCAGGAGTTCAGCGCGTTAAGTTCCTTTAGCGTTCCTTAATAGAGATGTGTCTTTGGGGGGTGGGAGACATTTAGTTTTTAAAAATAGCACCAATTTACTATTTTAGTCTGTTTTAAATATAGTGCTAGCGAAAGATGCCAGATTAATTGTTCCCAGACACTCCCATGCATTTCCTAAGGTCACATGAAGTTTGTGCAGAGCTGGAATTCGAACCCAAACACACACATTAGCCCAGCGTCTTCACTTGGACAGACCGCTTGTCATCCTCAGGAGAAGCAGGGACAAACACCTTCCTCCCAGCAACACCAGCTGGTAACTGGGTGTTTTACACCTCAAGCAACCCGGCACTCCTACCAAGGGAAGGAACCGCTATGAGCTCTTTACTGCCTGGCTCTCCTGATGGAAGTACCAGTTGTTTCGGTCATTTGTGGTCCTGTATTTCATGATCAGAGGAAAAAGATGACTGATGGACACCAATCTCATGCAAGCCGACAGTTTTTGGTCAAAGAACAGACTTGTGTTTAGTTTGGCAGCTTAGGACACAGAAGACTCTGGAAACTACTTCTTTTCCCTTGGGAAAAGTCCCTACACATGAAGTCTGTGAATACCCCCCAGTCAGGGTTGGTTAGTTATTCCTCTTAATGATGATTAACCCTGATACTGTAACACAGGGAAACGAGCGTCTTAATGGGAACATCCCTTCTTGCTGCACCCTCTGAACCATGGAAGATCATTTACAACTCCTTACAAGGTCAAAAAAATTTCCTGTGACTTAAACCAATCCACAAATCATTTTCTGCAGATGAATACACTCTGTGGAAGCAAGTAATTCTCAAGTGGTTTACAGCAACAAAGAGAGCAGCCTCAGGCCCAGGTCCCAGTACAGACCCCCAGAAATGGCTTCGTTTCTCCGCCCCGAGTGAGGCTGCAGGTCAGGCTCCTGTACGTTCACAGCAGAGCAGACTTCAGGTGTAATGCTTTCCCAGACCCTTCTGCTCCAGTAAATGGAGTTAAATGCTCCTTCTGCTCTACTCCTAAAAATACCTGCAGCTGAACAAGCTTGGTGGTGCCCCAGCAGATCTGCGCTTCCTCTGGAAGCCCAGGATGGAGGAGCAGGCTCCAGAGCACCACCAAGCATCCCTGTAACCCATCTCTGGACCCGGTGTGACAACAGCCCTGGCAGCTCCGTGGGTGCTGTGCTTACCATCTGGGAACGACAGGACAGGATGAATACACGAGTCCAGCTGGGAGAGGCGCTCCAGCAAAGGGGCATCGTACTGGATCTCCAGAGTCGTCGAGCTCCGAGTGCCACACAGAGCACACGCAGGGTTCACATCACAGCTACATCGCGCCAGGCTATTACGATGGACCTGGAAAGGGGAGAGAGAATAGCATCAGCATATCAGAGGTCAATGTGTCCGAGGGCTCTCTTTGCATGTTCCACTTTGATAGCTCATGACAAACAACCTAAAGGCTGTTTGGGGTTTGGGTGGGTTTTTTTCCCACCTTGTATGAAACGTGTTCATTTCGCCTGGACTCATAAAAGGACACTTTAACTTCACCAAAACACAACTGAAAACTACTCCTCAGCAGCACAGACAGTTTAACATTTACAAAATTCGACTAAAAGTGTTTAATTTTAATCCAGGTTCAAACCTCATTTACAAACAGCATGAGGCAGCACAATTCAGTTGTCAGAGAGGGGAAAAAAAAGCCTTTTTGAGTTCAGATGGGTCAGAAAGCCATCACTATATGCCAAAAGCTGACACTTACAGGGACGCCTTCCCAGAATGAAAAAGGGTGTTTTTCAACCTTGTTTCTTAAAGCAGGACAGACTTTCAATTCACAAATTTATAGACTTCATTTATATGAAACCACTGTAGGCAGCTGCAGAACTGGATGTAAATCCCACACAGAGCCAGCAACCTGCGATTCCCCATCAAAACTGAAGGATGCATCAAACTGGGTCCTGCACAAGTCTGTTCCAACTCTGGTATTATTCAGCTCATTTCCATTAATGACTTGAATGATGGAAGAGATAATATCCTTAAGCCTCAACAAATAACACAAGAACTGGGAAGGGCTAAAAGTACCTTGAAGGGAAGAGCTGGAAAATATTTAAAACAAACAAGATTTAATTCGCTGAGGGCAAATGCAACAAGTAGACGCTTCGGTGACCAGTGAAGAGGAGGAAGAGGTAACCGAGCACCAGTTCTGCCCAGAGGATCTGGTGGTTGTCACAGATCAGAGGATGAGGATGAATCAGCAGTGCCGTACCATCACGGAGAATTAACACCCCCCAGGGCTTTATGACCAGGACGGCTGTGCAAGAGGCCTGAGGTAACCCTGCCATTCTGCTCGGCATCGCTAACACGAGCCGGAGGGCTGCACCCAGTTTGGGGCACGTATTTCTCAAGAAATGTGTGCAGCAAACGAAGAGGAAAACAACAACAAATGACAAGATCCAACAAAATACCTCCTATGTGCAAAACCAGAAAGACCCGTGGCGTGTTTAGCGTAGAGGTGAGCACATCAAGAATTACCACATCAACTTTCACACTTCAGGGAGAGCTGCTGAAGCGACGAGGGGAGCTGACCAGTTTGCACCAGGGCTTGGACTACTGGTAATGACTCTAAATGGCAGCCAAGGCAGCTCATAAGAGAAAGATTGGTTTGGTTTTGCTGTCTGAAGAACAAGACTAGCTAAGCACTCAAAGAGCTTGCCTAAGGAGGTTTAGACAAACCGTCTGGCAGGGTAGGAGGAAAAAGCAGTCTGGCTCTGGGGCATGAGGATGCTGTGGGCGACTGTGGGAGATCCCCTCCCGCCCTGTTTCACAAGACCAGTCCTGTTTGCAACCCAGTGCAGGCTACAGACCCACTCCACCTTTAAGCCTCATCTCTTTTCTACAGGACATCTTTCCTACAGGACACCTCCTGACTCAAAAATTTCAAGTGATGTTGTATTCAGATTTTGTAAAACACTAGGCACAGTTATGGACGATCTCTATTGCAACAGCGAACTCTCCGGTTGTAACTTCTGGTCGCAGCAACCCGACTCGGTGCCAGATGCGAGAACGCAGTCAACTGCACATGGTATTTCTGGACCATCACGTAGCCATCACGCAGCTTTTTCTCAAATAACTGCAGGAGTCCATACAAATCCTCTGCTATCTGGCACATCTTCTGTGCTTTGGAACTGCTCTTCTGAACCATGTGATTATCAAATGTATTTGACGAATATAGCAAAAAACTAACACAGAATTAACAGATGCTTCTTCAAACACTGAGCGCACAAGTCAGCATCACCTACGGGATAGTTTATGAACTTTCAAGTCACTGCAGATCTTGCAAGCAGTCATTGCAGAGGTCTAACAGAAATACCCCAGATAATACTGCAAATGAGTAATCAGTTAAAGCTAACTCAGTCGAGGGAGAATCTGTTTTGCTCAGAAAAACACTGCTTTCTGAGCTTCTCTTTAAAACTCCAGCACCCACCGAGTGAAAACCCCCAAAATGCTATGGTAAAGTTTGACTTGAAACACTTTGACTCAGAGGTAAGTGGATTTTTGCCATCTATGGTTCTGCAACCATGAGAGCTGCATGCACAAAAAGGGTCCTCATTCTCTCAATTTCTAACTGTTAATCCTCCAGCTGACAGCTTATTCCTAAAAGAAATCGAAAAAATGAAGCATGGCCCTTCCTCATATAGGGAATAAACAGTATTTCCACTGAACTGAATTCTGCATAAGGGCAAGGGAAGACTCTGTGGAGAGGAGTATAAAATAAATAAATGAAAACAAACCCAAGAGCAGAGCCACAGCATTCCGTGATTTCCACACGTAAGCGGCGGAAGGGAACGCGATCACCTCGGCAGGCCTTTCGCAAGACAGCCCACACGCGCCTGGTCAGACAACTGTAGTTTTCCTTTGCGCAAGCAGCAGCCAGTTCCTGGGGCTGCGTTAATTCCCCCGCTCGCAGTTAAGGTTTCCTGATGCTTGACTTTTCAGAGCTTCTTTTGACTGCTCAGACTGTGCCATATCGAACTACCCGGCCTGAAGTTCACCTCAGGCTGGCTGGTTTTAGAAAAGCAAACCCACACCACAGTTCAGCATCTTGCCCCTCCAGTGACAGCTAACAAAAGTCTTCCAACAAATTAAAAGCTTCTCCTTGGTTTCTCCTTTACTTCTTCAACAGCCTTTGAAGTCTCACTGCGCTCCTGTTCTCCCCCATTATTTTTTCCCTCTTAATAACCACAAACATTCCCAAAACAGGGAGACCTCTTCATGCAAACTGCAACAGCACACGGGATCACTGCATCAGCACCTCACCAGGCTCTCTGGTGCAGAGCTTCAGCCATACACCGCATCAAACCCCCAACAGCACTCACCTTTTTGGAAAGGGGCATAATGCTGCTAGGTCGAACGAGCCGTCGCTTCTTACAGCTCAGGACTGGGCGAGTGCGAGCTGCTACACACGTTCCATCCGAAGATGAAGAAACCATGTTCAGTCGTTGCTTTTTATGCAAGAGCTCCTCAGCTTCCTGGCCATCTCCCTGAGCATGTTCTGCCAGGCCAGGCTGAAGACTGCCCGAGAAGAAGAGATAAAGAAAGATACTGTTACTCATTCCACCATCCCACCGTGCTCAGCCATAGCAGCTAGGTTCATGATTCAGACCTCAGCAAACACTCCATGCTGAGTTTAAAGCACTGCAGTTTCACAAGGCAGTATGTTCTGTTAAAGCAACTCCAATTTTTGCTTTAACTTTGGCCACTTTCTGCCAATGAACCTTTGACAAAATACCTTTGGATGTTCTGACCAAAAAATAGCATGTAAAGCTGGACACAGAGCAAGACCAAAAGCCACTCTAGCCCTGAACAGCTTTAATCCTAGAACTTGGCTTCCCCCAGAATTACGGTGCAAAGTATCTTAATACAACAGGTTCTCACAAGTCCAAATGCCAAACAGAGCACAAGACAGAGAACGTGTAATTTTCTAGAAAAAATATTTACCCTAGATGTAAACTTGATTCTGATTAATATTTGGGAACTATACCTCTGACAACCCTCAGCAGTGACACCAGAAAGGCGCAATGTTAACATAAACCTTTCTGTTTTCCGTCCAAAGGAGTTTCCTGCCCGCACGCAGGAACCCTGCCCTGCCGTGGCATCAACACACCATGCCACCTACCAAACACCAGCACAGCTCCTCATCTATGGAACCTTCTCAAGCACATTTTACGAGCGTTTCATTTCTAAAAATGCAAAACATTAAAGCCCTGTGGTCTAAGGCTCTGCAGTTCAAAGGCTGCAGGTATCTAAAGGGCTGTTCTAGCCCACGGAGTTTCAGCTGCAGCGATGAGGTAGCTGATCGGTGCTTTCTACGCTGGCTCACACTGCGCTGGCGCAGCATCCCTCCTCCCTCAAGGTACCCAGCAAGTGCAATGGTGCTGGCAACACTTCTCTAGCCACTACCAGAACTTCCAAGCACTACATGTTCAAGGGTTTTCAGGTGGTTCAACCCTGAAATCAATTTCTTTCACCCACTTAAGGACTTACTCAACAAAACCAGCCCGGAGAAACAAGAAATTCAGAAAGCCTTACTATCAAAATCAGTGGGATTTGGGTTCCATGGTATCTCCAGAAAAGTGGGCCAGTGGTTACAGATACTTCTGCAAAATAACTGCAAGGGGGCCACCAGTACCTCTGAATCATACAATTTGCAAGTGTATTAAAAATACCCAAAAAGAAACAGTTTTGAACACGCTCACTGCATGGTTGCCCGCAGGGCTTGTTCATGTAAACACAGCTCCGTTTAATACCATTTTCAGAAAAACAATGCAGCAGAAAACCTCAAGCAAGCAATCTCCTCCAAAATGTTTCCAAGCATGATCTACTACCACCCTTTATTGAACAGGAGACCATTTATGCCCTTACCAACCCAGTTACTACCCAGCAGCACGTTACAGCATAGTTTCAATGGGACTTTGTCACAATCACAAAAATCCAACTCTTCCCACAATACGCAAGCAGCTTACGTGTTAATAACTCCATTGACGGGTCTTGGTGCTCCACAGGGCTTCGCGGGATGGCATTCAGGAGTATTTGCAGCAGAAATACCCAAGTTGTCTAGTGGCTGGGATCCACAAACACTCTAAGGAAGAAGGAGAAAGACCATCAATTAATAAAAAAAGCTTCTTAAATAGCCACAATATCCTTCCTCCCAGTTTCCAGCTGAGGATCCTGCACTGTAGCCACGGGTTTCCACAGAGGACTTCAAAACAGGGGTTCAGAAGTCACTATGTGAACAGGAGACGGGAACCGTAAGGACTTCTTAGGGAGCAGCTCTGGCAGGAGGAGGGATACAGGACAGCACCTTCCATGCAAGAACCAAAGGACTGCGATTCCTCTCGGGCAACCACCACAGAGCATGAAGGGCTGAGGTCTTTAAGGAGATCTCAGCATTTTGTCTCGACAGTGCAAACAAGCTCAGAACCACCCGTAAACCTCGCAGGCGTCTTCTGCAGTTTGGTGCCACGCTCTGAGCCACCCGGCTGCGAGCTCCTGTCTAAGCACTTTGAGGGAAAACGGGAGAATAGACTTGCAAAACTGAAATTGCATTTTAGCTAAATACCTGTGCAAACACGGTCCAAACAGCACTTTAAAAAGTATTTTAAATCAGTATGCACACAGGCTGTGGTTTCTGGATATAAGCAGGCCAACTCTACAAAGCTAAAACCGCCTGATAAACACAAAGCTGGAAACACCTTTTTGGCAGAGAGAAATAAGAACTAAGCTAAAGACACAGAGCTCCCCAATCCCTTCTGCCTTTGGCCTGAAACGCCAACGCGGGGCCCCCCCCAGCCGTTACTGCGCGGCCGCAGCACTGGGCGCTGCACATCTCCAGCTGCTCTGCAAGTGGCCTCGGCACCGGGGGGACGGTCACCGCAGCTTCCAAGGACACGCTGGCTCTGCAGCTCCTGCCAGTGACGCTCCTGCTCTCCAGCCCGGCCGGTGCCGCTGTGCTCCGGCATGTTCATACCCTTGGCACTCACTGCCCCAGTCTCATCCGCACAGCCCCTTCTTTTTCTTTTCAGACACGCTCCTCCTCCTCCCTGGGGTTAAACTTCATTTCTTCCTCCGTGCAGCACTTCCTACACTCACTGCCAATGTCTCTCTAGCTGGGTTTCCCCATTCGCGCACGCAAGGGCGGAGGTGCAGTTCAAGCACTAGTAAAAAAGATAAAAGGTCTGACTTATCTACACGCATGTCCGACCAGCCAGCCCCCCCCTGCTCGTCCACACACCCCATCTCAAAAGCATCAGCACTCCATCAATTAACATCTTCCCTGCAATCACTCCCCCAACCCAATGAACAACTCAAACCAGGCTACGGTGGTGCTGGACTAAGGATCTGGAGCACAGCAGAGACCTGACCCACCGAGGGAACAGCGATTTCTGACAACACGGGCAACTTCTGCCTGCTGCCTGTTTGAGGAACTTTGCTGGGTTTTCTACACTCCTGCTAAAGCAGACGTTCCTCCCGGGCAGAGCAGAGGATCAGACCGACAGGCTCGTCGCCGATACTCGGTCTGGGCGCACGGACGTCGGGGCGAGCTCAGCAAGCACACGCAGCACCCCGGCGAGGCCAAGTCCGCGCAGGGGCCGAACGCTTCCCCGGCGGCTTCCAGAGGCTTGGCAAGGCTGTGCCTTCACATGACACCTCCGCCGGAGGCACCCACGGTTCAGGAGGGCGGGTACACATGACTCATAAGCTCTTTTGAAACAGGGTATTTATTTTCTTCTCCAGAAAGGGTCTTAAAGGAGGAACCTCTTCTCCACAAGCTGTCTCCGGCTTGGTGGTTCAAGATGGGAAGAGACATCTCCTCTCTGCATCCTGCGGAGGAGCTGGAAAGCATCAATCCAAAGCCTGGTTATCGGAAACAGCCCAGGCTGCCCTTACCACGCTGAAGATGGGTGTACCCTAAGAACATGAGCAATGGGGGAACGAGCAGGACTGCAAGAACCGACATTCCCAGCGTCCAGATCCTCCACCAGCTCCTCCCGGACACACCTCCCAATGCCGTGACTTCCTCCGGGGCTGGCTGGGCAGCCAGGCTGGGATCCAGAGGAGCGTTCATCACGCCAGGATCACATCGATGCTCCAGACTGAGCTCTTCGCTGTGTTTTGGGAATGCCTAGGGTCTGGAAGTCCAGGTCTTCAGATCCCTAGGACTCTTAGGCGCAGTGTCAATCCAGCTTCAGCACACCTTCTTGCTGCACATGTAACCAGGACCTGCAGACTGCCAGGGGCTCTCACGGCACTAAAGGAGCTGTGTGCTGGCAGCTAGTTGTGTCCCAATGCAAGGAATGTCCCCCGTATTCCCCCCAAAACCCAAACAAAACCAGACAAGTTCAGACCTTCACCTATTACTAGACACAAACCTCTTAACAGAACGAAAAGCCTGACCAAGACACTTCATCAATATCTTTTCTCATTTACTACTAAAAATTTACATCCACCCCCTTGCTAGACTAGCAATGAACCAGTATCAACAGCCGGGTTATTTCTTCAGGGCTTCGTCTTATTCCCTTCTTCAGGCAAAAAATATTTCTTCACATACTGAGCTTCCAGTTCCCAGCAGACATCCCCAGGGCTTCTTCGCAAAGCCCTTCCCTCCACTGCTGATGGGATTAGCTGCTCCTAGGGATTGTCAGCCGCATTCCACAGATCAAGCTGATGCCCAAGGACACGTATCCTGCATTTACCCTGGCCGAGGGATGAGACCCAAAGAGAAGCTGGGCATGAGACAGGATGGATTCCTCCCCTTACTCCACTCCAGATCTGTTTCTTACTCTGCCAGTTTTTGCACTGGGGGAAAGCAAGAAAAAAAAAAAAAAAAGCCTAATTCTAAGCAGCCCAAAGAGTGCCAAAATGATAAGCACCTCTCCAGGAGAGGCCTCAGAGACACCCTTCCAGTAAGTGTCCTAACGCAACAGGAATGGTCTCTGGGCTAATCTCTGGCTCGGAGCAGATCAAGGCTCTGACTCAACACCCCGCCCTTATGAGCAAGCCTAACGAAGCCCAAACCCTCCGGCAGCAGGGTGCAGAGAAGCCGGGTCCCCGGAGGCAGCCTTTCTGGCGGCTGACCCCTCCAGCACTGCCGCAGAGAAGCGGGCAGCAGGCAGCGACGTGTGCGCCCACCGGCAGCCACGCGTGGAAGGGGAATAAAAAGCATTTCGGGAGGAGTTCGTCTCCAAAACGGCAACACGGCTACAGGAGCAGCCACACGAAGGTGCCAAGGAGGAACCTGCAGCCTGCTTTACACCGAAAATGTCGTTCTTCACTGGTCGTAGTGGCTATTATTTGTGTCACTGTTACCTCCACGACCTGCAAAAGAGATCAGATCTCCATCGCGCGAGCACTGCAGTAATAAAAGTCTCCGTCTGAAGAGCTCCTACCCAAGTGAACGGGAGGAGAACAGGGACAACGCAGGAAATGAGTAAACACAGCGCCAGTGAGATGGCTGTCAGCAGCAAAACCAGACAGCACTGGCCAAGCAAGCATTTTCTTTACCATACATCAGAAACCTACAGGCATGGTCCGTTCTCCACTTACAGAGATGATGTCCAAGACAATCTAGAAAAGGACAACATGATGATTTTGTAAGTATATGGAAAATGTCTTCAGTGTGTAGGGACAAAGTCAGGTGGGACACAGTCCTTCCAGCTGCAGATTCCAGGTTGAAAATACACTAGTGTCAAATAAACATCCTGATTTAAACGGATAGGGAAGAAAATATTCTTCCCATCACTGTTAAATTTGATCGTTTATCTCCGTTATCAGCCTGCTATGTACAGATTAGCTCCCAAATAACATCCAATTCATCACTGCAGGAGCATGTTATTCCTGAAGTGAAGCAGAGGATGCTGTCACTGCGCTTCTGTATTCTTCTCTGAGCGCTTTTTGGGTTAAAGCATGAAAAGGGGGGGGCCACATGACAGACAGACATCACTGTTCAAAACCAGACACTGCGTAATGCCTGTGATTCAATCACGATGGGTAGCAGCCCCTGTCATCCCGGCTCTCCAGCCTCCCGTCGCTCCTCCAGCGTGGCTCTGCCTTCACCCGAAGCACTACCTACTATTTCAGCTGCGAGCAAAACCTGCCCACTGTACCAAACTACACAGCAGAGTTTTGGGCTCAGCTAATCTGCTAACTGAAGACTTCCATTCCAAACACGCACCTGAAAGCCAGTGTCAAGCGAGGAGACGTTTTATTACAATCACTCGTAGTCACCCCTTTGCAGTCCGGCGTTAATCAAAAATTTCACAGTATTTCAGATTATCTTTCAGTATCAGGAAAACTTTAACAAAGTCTTCTCAGTGATAGGAGAAAACACTCGAAGTACAATTTTACGGTCACTTCTAGTTATGTTTTTTATCTGTATCAACTACATTGAATACTGGTCTGTGAAACTCCAGCACTCCCATTGCAGTGAAGCTCCGTTTCTCCCCAAATGCGGCATCAGGACAGAAAAGCAGGAGCGCTGCAGCCTGGCAGCAGGAGTTTGAGCCACGCAGGGACCACCCTTCTCCTAGTACTACACCACAACTTCAAAATCCTCCATTTTAGTACATCAAAGCGTCCCACGGGATCAAAAGTAATCACAGCCAGGCTGAACAGTAGGATCAAGCCTTTAGTCTGTGGCCTACATTTCTGCATTAAATAATAAATACCTGGCACTCCGCATAGTTTCCAGTGCATCTCACTGAAATCATCAGTTCCCCTTCCAAGGGGTAACACTCAGGCAGATATTAACGGTCACATCTTTAGAAGCCTTTGCTAATTGTGCTGCTCTCAGTTTGAGGTACTTTTGCTAGAGGGAAAGGATTAGTTTGGATTTTTAAGCTTCACAAAATGCTAATACATATTACAAAGGTACCCTGAGGAATTCTGTTCTAAAAGGTGTTCAAATCCTATCATTTATTTACCCCAAAATAACCTGAGAGGGGGCGAGCTCCAGAGACCAACAGATCAGCGATTCCCACGTGAAGTCCCACACGGAGATGCTTCTGCAGGAGGCCAGTCCTGCGCAGACGCGTGGTTTGAGCACCTCTCTCCAGCACAGCTTAAAGAATCGACCTTCCCTACCCAAAATCCGTGAACGTGAAGCGTCCGGACCCAGTCACTCCTGCTGCTGGCACTTACCAGCCGGTCAGCCCCAGGCTCCAGCTTAACTTCAGCACTAACGGGACGGGACGCATCATCTACTGCAGGATCAGGGGGTGATGCTTCACCAAGAACTATCAGCCCCTGGAAGAGAGGGAAGGGAACAGGAATTAACTGCGGGTCCTTCGGTTTCAGCAGGGAAACTGCGCATCCATCACCTCCCAGAAACTACAACCGCTGCACAGCAAGGCTTGGATTCCCACCGCATTTTTCAGATGTGATGCCAAACCGAATCCCCCGCTGCCCGGATTTTCCTGACATCTAAGCTGAACTCGGAGGGGGAAGGACGGTGGCTGAAGCCAGACCACATGCCTCCAGCCCACTGACTGCAGACAGTCAGCTCCCTCTCGGGCAACACTGCTGCAACGCTGCCGCCGTCCCGCTTCCCACCCCTTCTCCTCCTCCCGCACGCGAGGAGGTTCAGCGAGCTGCACGCCAGCAAAAGCGCAGGAAACGACTGCTCTCACAGTACAAAGTGGAACTCGCCGCCACGGCCAAGCAAACGACTTTGAGCGGGTGCCAAAAATCCACAAACTTGTTACTCTGAGCAGATTTTTTTTTCAAAGCAGCGATATTCGCAAAATTCAATAAGGAAAGAAAAGCGCTGATAAACGAGGCATTGCTATAAACCTAGCGGGACACAGCACAGTGGCAGAGCACTGCTTTATCAGGCTTCACATATGTTGTCCTGTTTATGTTTTACTCTCAGGGAAGCTTACTTTAAAGGCAGGACTGCTTTCTCTCTGAGCAACACGAAGTAAAATAAAATCATTACAATTACGCATATTCTGAGCTATATTGTAACAAAGCAGGCTAAAACGTGGAAGGGATTCGAGAGTTGGAGGAACCTACAGGCCATGAATATATTGCAGGACAAAGACAAGCCAGAACAAGTTTGTGTTTGGTCAAACAAGGAACTATGGAAAGGGCTGCTCAGATTAAGAACAGGCGGATCACTCATCTGAAAACAATTCTGGAGGTTGCACAGCGTGTCACAAGGAATCGAGCCTAGAAGGGAACCTGGATACGGTGCCTGGAGAGAGGAGAGAGCTACAAGGCTTCCCACAAAGTCCACAAAGTCAAATCTTAACATGACCGATGCCATGGCACGTGGCCATGGAAGTCGCTCACCAGGCTGACCTGCTGCCTTGATGCAATCTCCTACACAACAGATCGGTGGCTTTCCATAAAGGCAGTGGTAGCCCACAGTTCAGGGATACTCCATGTGAAAACAGTTCAGAAACTACACGCAACTGTACGTGGCCTCTGACCAGCAATGAGGAAATAGCCAGCTTCTAGAATAAACACGATGACGATTTTCTAGAGTTTTCTGACATCCCGGAAGGATGTTTAGTGGATGAGCGAGGCTGCAAGTCTAAACTCAGTTAAATACTGCTGTGCTTTTCCTCTACCCTGGAAAGACCTCTCTCCAACAGCAACCCATCACATTTCACCACTGCCCCCAGAAACACCCTTGGGCAAGCTTTAGCAAAGAAGCTGCTCATCTCCAGATGTGAAGTGCAGGAGACAGCGGACACAAAAAAGGGAGAACCTGGGACCGAATTCAAAATTGGAACCAAGGAAACTGCTTCCCTCTGATACTCCAGCAAGCACTCGGGCTTCTCATTTGCTCAGCGAGAGAAGGAGATGGGGAAGCACAGGCCTCAGGAACAGCCACCAAGGACTTCTGCTCCAGTTTAAAGGCAGAGGATGAAGGGAGCTGCTCCACACCTCAGGAAGGAGCAGTAATTAATTCTACGGGCTGTGGGTATTTGTTTAGAAGCATGTCCCTTTACTGGTGACTTTGAAGCAGAGGCAACGCTTAACGCGGCCTTCCCTGTGACACAGATCTGGTGACCGTGCCCTCGTGCCGAAGCTGCACTGCCCGAACCCCCCGCGCAGGCCAGCCCTCCTCTCCTGGAGAGCCTGGAGATGCCTCTCCGGACCTGCAGACCTCCACGTCGGACGGCACCTTCCTCCTGAGGGCTTGTGCCTTCTGCTTTGTGCCTAAGAGTTTTACATCTCTGTTATTTACACGCTTCTGGGTATCAGAGAGGAGTTAGAAGGGCAACATCAAATTTCCAACTCCCTTTCCGGAACGGGAAAGGAGCAGCACATGTGAATTATTCCAAGGTCACACAATACTTGCTTCTCACCCACGTTCTCCAAAACACAGAAAAAAGAAAGCCACCCCCACCCCCCCATTTATGGGCAAGTTTGCTGCTTCTTTACTCCCATTTTTACCAATTCTGGTATTAATGAGCAGTCAATCGTACAGGTCTCAGAGACAGATATAGAGACAGATCTCGTATCCCACAGTCCTGTAATGGTCAGCAGCTTCTGCCAAGCGACTAACGGGTGAGGAAGAGGACTGACCCACATTAAAACACATCAGCAAGAGACTGAGTGTCCTAAGCAGCCCTGCACAGGGACAGCAGCATCTCTAACCGTGCCCTAATCCCGACACACCGCTGCAAACACGGGAAACTCAGGTGAGAGCTGCAGATCCCTCCAGCACGAGGCTCCTCCTAACTGCCACCCCACCCTTCCCACCACGCGTCCCTCTGGACTCCGCAGCCCCGGGCAGGGCACGGCCCTCCCCACGGGACAGGCGGCACGCAGACCAGAGCGAAAGCGCGCAGGGACCACAGCGAACGCCTCTCGGATGGTCTGGGAATCAGGCGAACCTGGGTCTGCAGGGACAACGTGCACAACGACCCCGTCTTCAAGGAGTTTCGGTCACTGTATTTCAAGCAAGTCTGCCGCTACACAAAATTCCTGCAGGAGCCCTTCATCTTCATTTACCTCTTATTCCATCTAAGAGCAAAACTCACAAGAGACACAGAGAAAGAACGCTGTTCGTTCCTTTCCAAACAGGGAGCATCTGCACCCACACACGCAGGGAGACGCAAAGACTGCGTGGGGGGAACCAGCACCCTGCCACACCCCGCCTAAAAAAGGCCCAACGAAGCACATTTATGAAAAGAAACAAAACCACACTCTTCAAAGCCGACACGAAACCGAAGGCACAACAGCCCGCTATTTTTAAGCGCCAGAAGACACAGTGCTTCGCAACTGACTCTGAACACACGCTCGCCGGTTTGCTCTTTTCCTCCGCATCTCACCAGGCTCCGACCGAGCGATCCAAACGTGCAGAAAACCCCATTACTGCCGAGACGCCCAGGCAGCAGTGTACCTTCAAAGCAGAAGGTTGTTTTCAACTGCCTGATCTTTCTCGTGCTTTGGTTTGACGAAGCAACGCATCTTTCTTGAAGGGCACATTTGGATGTAAACCTTCACGTATAAAGGTAATTACCTTAAAAAAAAAAATAGAATAGTGACTTTGAATTCCTGCAGCAGCTACATTTTAACCTCCTTACGGCCAAATAAGCTAGAGGTAAGTTATGTTGACAGAAAAAACAAGGTGTCTTCAAATTCTGTAATCGTCATCGTTGTACAACTGGAAGTCAAATCCATTCCAACAAGACTCCTGTGTGACTGAAACACGCGCTCGCTTCTCTGCTCTCCTGTAATCGTCCCAAGCTGCTTTTATAAATTGCATTCTCAGTTTTTCATTGATGAAAACAGAACATCTTTGACAAGGCATCCTTGAGCTCCACGACGCCAAGACGACGACAGCAGGGTGCAAGCGGTGATCTCCATGAAGTCCTGTCAGAACGACGCGGTGTTTGCTACCCGCTTTCTTCTTCAGGCAGAAGAGCCACTACCCAACCCTCACCACGTGAGCTCTTCTGCCACCGTACGGGGCACGCTTTACCTTAAATTCCTGTAGCGGGTCATTGCAGCTGAGGAGTTTTGGTTTGAACAAATCCAAAACGATGACATCCTGTTTTGCGAAACCTCACATGTACTTTTCAACTTTGACACAATACCGTGATGTTCTCCCTTCAGACGCGGAGACTGCACCCTCTGATAAAAACATATGGGATGCTTGTAGCCATTATCAGGCCTTTTCCCCAGCCTGTCAAGTTGTCATCAACTGGTGAAAGCACTGAATCTTCCACTTCATCAGATGAGTTTTCTCATTTCTTCCATTACTTAACTTTTAGCATCTAAATGTTTAGCTAGTTCGTATTTTACACTTAGACACCATCTTGCACAATCGGCTTTCTTAAGACAGAAGGAAGATGATTCTTTCTGAAACTGGTTCATTAATCTGACACACAAGCCACTTCCCAGAAGCCTTTGGCTCTAATCTTGGTAATGTATTCTGCTCAGCAAGCCGTGCTCTTCTACCTCGGCACCCACAGCCCTCACTCGCTCCATGCGCCGGTTTTCCTACATTGCTGCATGCAAGCCCAGCCTCCCTCCCCCGCCTGTGCCTTCCACCCGCCCCGAAGCCTCTCTCCCCCCCACCCCCTCAGCACCACACAGCCTGGGAAAGGCGTTTGCTGGACCCTAAATTCCTCAGGACCTCCAAGTTGATGCAATACCATGAGCCTTCTCGCCACAAACTCCAGACATTCCTCCCTCCAAGGCCTGACATTTAGATGTGCATGCCTGAACAAGTCTCGATAACAATTCCTTCCTCATCCCTTCTCTGCTTTCCCACTCTCCCACCATCTGAGAGCAAGTCTGAAAAAAAAAATTCCTTTCACAGAGAAAGGTCAGCACCTAGGAACAGTCTTTTTTTTTTTTATGATACAGACTCAATTTTAAGCCTGTGCTATGTGACAGCATCTGAAGCTAACTTCCTCCACAGTCCCCTCTCCTCCCCAGTAAGTCTCTTGTTAAGTTGTTCCTTATTCCCATCTTCAGATACTCCGAAAAAGAAAGAATGGGAAAGGGTAAAAAAAAAAAAAAAAAATCAAATAAAAAAGAGAAAGGCTTGAACAATGGGGAACAGCAACACACACGCGAAAGCAACAGTTTTGTTCAGTACCCAAAGACTGATTTTCACGCGAGGTATTGCTCTCTTCATGTTACTGTACTGAACCAGGAGAAAGAATGACACTCAGCCCATGCCAAATAGCATTACAATTAGTCACAACTGTGCAATATGCTTTTTCAGAGATGCCGGGGGGGGGGGGGAGGACGGGGGGGGGGGGGGGAAGCACCAGACTTTGCTTATGCACTCCCCACTGCATCAGGGAAGAGAGCCATTCGGAGGCAGACAGCAAAGCCACTGGTAGCCCAGCGCACGCCTGTCCTCACCTTGTTGGCTCTGATCTGCTTGTAAATGTCCGTTTGCTGCCGGATTCGGTATTCCAGGTCCGAGACGTGGGCTTGGAGCCAATTCCAGCGACTGACGATGGCTGCACGGTCTGCTGCCCATCTCCACTCTGCCCTTCGCCTCCTGGAAAAACAGAGAAGGGAAGGGGGGATTATTTTGAGTGTGATTTTAATTACACAGTCCACAAAAAACCCTAGCAGAACTGACAGATAGATCAAAAGCTACACGCTGAACGGCGTGACTGATACCATCTACCCACTGCTAATAATTACCAACCAAACTACAGACGTGCTATAAAAGCCATGCCTCTGCAGAGCAATAGTAAAACAACTTTTGGTACCCGGTGATTGAAGTCCTGCCTATGCAAGCGTTAAGATTTTATTCCACGCTTAGCTGAACCAGCAGCTCCAGTCCTACCTGGCCACATCTGCCAGTCCCACTTATCCAAGTATTGGGCAAAAACAACACCCACCTGCCCTCCCCTCCTTGACTTAGCCTCCCCACAAAAAGACCTCTATTATCAGTCACAAAATGCGCCTCAACACCAACATGTACCGCACGGCCACAATTAAAACTCGGCGGCAAGTTTCATAACACACCATCATTTGGTTTTAAGAGCAGCCACTGTTTGAGATGAGCAACAGAGCTACCAGCACCTTGCACGAGCTGCTCCCCTGCAAGGAGGTGCTGCAAAGGAAAGCAGGCAGCAGCAAAGTTTTTTCTGCATCTGATGGTTTGAGGGAGCAAACAAAGCAGCCAGGAAAAAACTTCAGAAAATTACCAAGTGAACGGTGACTCCTGATCTCTGGGGCTCGGAGGCGCGATGTGAGAGGGCTACGAGGATGGTGCGGGGACTGGCGTGGTTGCCCCACCGGGGC